AAAGTTATTCAATATTAAATATTATATATAATTTTAATTATACGTTTTAATAAACATAAAATCTGATTGGCTAGCAGATGAGGGTGGGGTAGGTTTGAACAATTTATTAGTAAGTAGCTCTACAGTTTCTGTTAAAAAGTTATTAATTGGTAATTCACAACTCAACCATAGAGTGCTCATAGTGTAATATAACATGGTTTACATATAGAAATTAGGATTTTGCGAATGTGGTGTGTTTCTATCTAAAACTTTTTTTTGTACTAAGTTAATCACTTTTGAGCCTCTAATTGAAGTTGTAAAGCTCATTGAGACGAATCTAATAGTAGTTAAATTGTCAAAATCGGCTTGGTGAATCATGAGATATCTTTAAAAAACATTTTACTGACTATGTAAACTTCTCTTTTAACAAAGTATTGTTGAAAGAGAAGTTTACATAGTCAGCAAAACATTTTGAAGATATCTAATGATCCACCAAGCCGATTTTGACAATTCAACTACTATTGGATTCATCTCAACAAGCTCTACAACTTCATTTAGAGGCCCAAAGATGATTAACTTAATATAAAAAAAAGTTTTAGATAGAAGCACGCTACATTCACAAAACTCTAATTTCTATATGTAAATCATATCATATTATACTATAAGCACTCTCTGGTTAAGTGGCAAATCACCAATTAATATATATAGCAGAATCTAGCTCTTTTTTTTACAAGAATTGCTTTTTCTCTAGACTCTATATGGAATATAGTCTATTATAAATATAAAAAGTAGTTTTATCATAGGTTATCCACACATACTTCTTTTACCACTATTTAAATCTGAAAAGGTTTTTATTTTGTAATTTTGGTTGATTTACTTAAATATAAATCATTCAAGTTAAGCAATCTTCTAAAAGAATATTTGATGATATTCAATAACATCAGGATGCTCATATCTGTTTATATATATATTCTTTTGATAGCATTGATAACGAAAACCAAGTTTGTGTATTTACTAATATGCTATTTTTACTGAAATATATTGAGCAGATTCAATGTTCAATTAGAAAAGGATTTTTTGTTCAAAGTAATTTTTAACCAATATAGAATTTATTTTAAATTTTTGAAAGCACAGATAAGAGATCAATTAAAAAGAAACCAACTTATTATAAAGCAGGTTTTTAGAAAAAGATCTTTTTTAAAAATCTGGCCAAATTAACTTCCTTTTTATACAAATATTCATTCATTTTCTATATTTTTCACAAACTACAAACTACTATTAATAATATATATAACTGTCTTTGATATTTCCATTTTTTTTGACCTTGTAGAAGCAATTAAAAGAAATAAAAAACTGCTATATAACAGGTCTTTTCAGTTTTTGTAATTGCTTTTTGATTTATTATTTGGTTTACAAACTTAATTGCTCTATAAATTTTTTTTTTTGTCCAATTCTTTACCTACTCTTTACTTGACTCTTTATTTAATTCTTTATTATTACACTATTAATTAATATTATTAATTCTATTCTAAACTTTGTTTTTTTTTTTGAAACAACTTCTTATCTGATAATCTTGGTTTTAAAACTATTAGAATTCTTGTTACTGTTGTAAGTTAATAAGTAACTTTTGTCACAAAATAATCTAAACCAAATAGCAAGCACTTAATCGTTTTGCTATAACTGATTTTCGGTTTATATTAAGGCAAGTATTTTGTTTACTACTCAAATAAATTTTATTAATTAATTAAGAGAGATGGATTCTAACTAACCTCTTTAACTATTATTGCATTTGCTTTGATTATATATACTTCGAGTTATATTACTTATATCATAATTTGTTTATACGATTATACAATCATTTGACTCTTATATTGCTATATAAATTTATCTTATATTTTATGTATACCTTATTTTGATATACTACTACATAATACTGATAGTTACATAATTGATTATTACCTAATTCCCAATCTCTGATCTATTACTTACTTATTATATACATTATATGCAAGATAATGATTGATCACTCACTTTATTTTGATTCCTATACAAGTTTACTATATATTGTATATTATCATGACACAAGCTAGAGCCTCAAGAACTTTGTTCTTGAAGTTTTTAGTATAAGCATAGCCTACTTCCTAACAATCTTTGCAAAACTAATCCTCATTTTCTTATAATTTTTTACAAGTTCTCTAGCAAGACTCTTTCATAATCAAATATTCTTCTAATTCAGATTTCAAGTAAGTATTCACCTTTTCTTCACTCTTTTTTTTTCTTTAAGCTTATTACATTGCCCTTAAATGATTTACTAACACTCATTTTACCTTTACTATTCCTATAATCATTCTCCATATACTTTGTAACTCTATCATCAACACCATTATTTTTACTTCTATTCCTTTTTCTTTTACTCTGTTATATCCCAACTTATCTACTGCATTTCTTATACACACCATGCCCTTATTATTTCTTTCAGTCTCTTCTACTTATTCACAAGCAGGATATTTATCATAGAATTCATATTCACAGTAATAATTATATTTTATATTTTTATCACATAGAGTTTTAATCTGAATAAATCTGTTTATCTGTTTATCTGTATCTGATTATTTAGATAATCCAAATTGCTCAGATATCCAGATAATCCAATAGGTAATTAGATAATTATCTGGATATTAATAGTAAAATGAATATTCAGATTTAGATATTTGATAGATAAATAGATAAACAAATAATGGATAGAAACACTATTATTACATATTTTTTTCAATATTTCTTATTTTGATTCTAATAATTTTTGCTCTACCATCAGGAGCTTCATCCCTATTATTGTTATCTTTCATTCTATATCTTACCAGATCATCATTATTATTCATCACTAGATTATTGTTTTCGACACCAATCTCTCTCATATCTTTATTAAGTTTAACTACAACATTTTTGTTATCAGATCTCTTCAGCATAGTTTCAATATCAATTATCTCAAAAGATATATTGAATATTGGATTACTACTTTCAATTATTTTTTTCTAATCAAATACTAATCTATGATTATTATCTAATTTAGGTTCTCTAACTGATTCTCCATATTCAATATATTCTGAATCTTTCTCAAGTATTTCTTTTTCATTCTTATCAGTAATATCAGTATTTGGTGACAGATAAGTACTTTATTTTCATCCTTTATAATTTTATTTTCTTTATTATCACAATAACCTCTACTACTAATATTTTTCTTATTAGCATATTCTAATGCTTGAATTCCATCATTTCTGTCTTCTTCTGCATCAAGACTTTCGAGTAAGTTTTTCATTTTCAATTTACTCATATTCATTTTATCTTCTTCATCAACTGTTTCTCCATCTATGCTAACCATCTTTTTCTTTATACTTTTTACTTTCTCTGCAGAATCATCACAACCCATATTGTTTAGAACTATTTAAATAAACTCATCTCACAACTTGGTGTATTAGGCTTCAGATCTTTGTTGAATACTTTATTTTCATCTTTACCAACGTTTTTTTCTTTTTCTGTACTATTATCCAAACACCACTATACTAAGTCTATTTTATAGATCTTTAATACAATTAGCTGGCAAGTTTAATAGTAATCTGCTCAAGTTCTCATATCGTGAGTTAATAAGTGACTTTTGTTACAAAATAATCTAGACCAAACAGTGAGCACTTAATCGCTTTGTTATAATTGATTCTCAGTTTATATTAAAGCAAGTATTTTGTTTACTACTCAAATAAATTTTATTAATTAATTAAGAGAAATGAATTCTAACTAACCTCTTTAACTATTATTATATTTGTTTTGATTATATACATACTTCATGTTACATTATTTACATCATAATTTGCTTATACGATTATACAATCATTTAACTCTTACATTGCTATATAAATTTATCTCATATTTTATATATATCTTATTTTAATATACTACTATATAATACTGATGGTTACATAATTGATTATTACTCAATTCTTAATTCCTGATCTATTATTTACCTATTACATATATCATATGCACAAGATAACAATTGATCACTCATTTTATCTTTATTCCTATACAAGTTTACTGCATACTGTATATCACCATGATATTACTATCAGCTACCGGTAGTTAAGTATTAGAAAAAAATTTATGATTTTTAGATTTTTTATTGCTGTCTCTCTAAATTCTTTATTTTTTCTTTGCTATATATATTTAAAATTTTTAATATAGATAGCAAGGTGTTTTTTTTTCAAAAACCCTTGCTAAAAGAACTTCTACTACTAAATTTACTTTGTTAAAATTATTTAGCTTTGTGAATTCATCATCTAAATTTTCTTCTGAATTATCGCTTGAATTACTGAATTCTTTATTTGAACCAAGATTAATAAGTAAATAAAACATATATATAAAATAAGCTAATTCTGTATTTTTTATTTATAAAATTTTAATGCTTGTCTGTTTTGGCTTAGCAAAAATAAAGTATATAGCAATATAAAATTTACTATTTTTTTTCTTTTATTTTTTCTTCTTTTTCTTTTTCTTTTTTTTTCTTTATTTTTTATTTTTTTATTTTTTTCTGAATTTTTATATACAGCCTATATAATACTAAAGCTATTATATTGGCAAAAAAAAAATATAATTTAACAAAATTGCAATAGTGAATAATGCAATTCCTAATTATAACAATAAAATAGAATTAGAATCTTTTCAAAAAAAAAATTTGATATAAAAAGGAATCTAACAATCACTTCTCTTTTATATGTAACTAGTTTTTTTATTCTTATTTAAAACAATAGTTAATAAAGTTAAATAGTGTAAAAGAAACTCTTTCTGTAAATCACTTATACAAAACAAGCTCTAAAAAACTTCAAAACAAAAATGACTACAACTTCTTGAAATACTAAGCAAACCTACTTTGGTGTTCTAAGTAAACTTGCTCTGCTATTTATTTTATATATATTATAGAAGTTTTAAAACATCAACTTGCAAACTTATTAAACTATTTACAAAAACCTTTTAAAAATATAAAAACTTACAAATTTAAAGTTTTTTTAAAATTATATTAAGTCAACTAATTACACTCCTTAATAAAAACTTACTTAGCTCCTTCACACAATTATTTTAATATATAATATATTATAAACAAACTCAAACTTACAAAACTATGGTTAAAACTCTTTTACCTCTTTTCTTGCGATTTATTCTAAATTGTACTAAGTAAACCTCAGTTCTCACTTAAGACAAATTTGTTCTGCTCATCAAGACGAACATTTTAATATATAATACATTACAAACAGACCGAAATTGATAATTTTACATTAAGAAAACTTAATTGATAATCCATGAATAAACGAGAATTTGTATTAATAAAATCTATAGCGACATATATAAAATATCAAAATTAGCATTCCTGACTAAGTAAAGTCGATTTTTTATTAAGTTAATGTCTTGTAAGTTTCCAATAAAAGTTGTAGAACTAGTTTTTGTGATTCTAATAATAGTAAGATCGGTAAAATTAGTTAAATAGATAAAAAGTTATGAGCAATTTAAGATTAAAAAGTTTTCTAATACTATAGAAATCATGATTCTGACTTAACATTTTTTTACTATGTTTTATTATAAAATTTCCCCCGGTGTTAAGTTCTCGTTTACTCATAGATCATCAATTAAACTCTTTTGCCAAAAAACATACTTTTAGTTTTAAAAATTTATCAACAATTTTCTGAAATTCTATTGGCTTGCCCCAGAAATTTCACTTTTGTACATCTATTAAAATTTCCTAGAACCTAACAAATTTCAAAAATTCGCTCACTAAACTTGGAAAACTTACTGGATATTTCTGGAAAACTTATTGGTCTTTCTAAAATTTCAATACGTATATACTATACTCTTAACAAAAAACATATAATATCTCTATATTCTACTATATAAACTTCATTTAGCACTCTAAGTAAACTTATTCCTGAAACAAAAACACACTTTATACTAAAACTTCAAGTTAATATCTTTTAAATTCACTTAAAAATAAACTAACTTTCAACAAACTTTTCTTCTTACGTCTAAAATTTACTTAACAAAAACCAACTATACCTTTATACTCTACTAAGTAAACCTTGACACTCTAAGTAAATTTGATCTCAAGACTAAAATATATACAATACCTAAATTTCAAATCAGTATCTTCTGTACTTGCTAAGAAAATCAACAAAATGTTTTATATAACTAAAATTTACTTTTAACTATACTTAACAAAAACTATATTATAACTCAAAAACTAATTAAGATAATCTCCTTTAGTGTTCTAAGCAAATTTATTCTTTATATCAAATTACATAGATTTAAAATATTTTAAACTATAACCTTCTTTAAAAAATATCTCAATGTAGATTTCTCCACTATTCATCTAAATATAACCTAACTAGCTTAAATACTTTTGACTGGTTTAATGTTTTTCCAATTAACACTGAAGCAGAAAAACAAACTCAATTTCTAACACCTCTTGGTACTTAAATTTTTGATTTTATTAAACTATTTCTTTTAAATTTCTATCTTGGTTGAATTATTCAACCTAAAGCTTCCAATCAACAAGCTACCAAAAGTAACTTCGATAACTTATTACAATGTATAGTTTCTCAACAACTACAATTTCTTACCGATTTTATCCACCAAAACAAAATTGATGACAACAACACCAATATATCATCTAATTATCTTCTATTTATTCTAAGAGATATCTTATCTAACTTTACTACTGTTCTTTTTACTAAACTCAATTATAAAAAAATATTTCATTTAAACTATTTTTTACCTCTCTATTCTATTCCTAAATGCTCTCAAATTGCAATCAATCTTGCTCGCCTACACCTTTTTCTTTTAAATCAATACAAAACTATTAACTATATTAAATTTTTTGAAGATTTGGATCTTAAACCTATTCGTATGTCACTTTATTTTAACACTATATTTAACAATTCTGATCAATTACTTCTTAAAATCAAAAATAATACCAAATATAATATTTATATTACATTTGATATCTCTTCACAAAATTTTTTAAAAACTTTTTATATTCCCTCCTTTAAAACGTACTGCACAACTTTTGATA